AATGATGAGTCAGCTTTCCGGCACAGGCCACCTACAGGCTGCGTGCACAGGGCATCATGCCAAGGACAAGTTCCTTACTCAGCCGGGAGTGGGCAGCTGGGGCCTGAACTGCAAAGAAAGGGATGTTGGAAGAACAGAGAGGGCTTTCCAAGTTTCTGCTAGTCTGGAGTGAGCAGGAAGGGCTGCAGTTCCAGCAGTCTTGGGTCAGCTGAGCAAGTAGTGGTCAAAGGCATATGGGTCCTGGTATTGGAGTCATGCCAAATGAGCCAGCCAAAGCCTTCTTTTGCCTGCCCTTGGAGTGGAAATCCGACACCTGGTGGTTTCCACTCCCCTGCTCCTGTGAAGGCCCATTCCTTTGCCATGTCTCCAGGGAGGCACATTTTCAAGTACGGGTCTCTTTTTTTCCGTTCTTCTCTTCCACCAGGACCTTTCTTTGAAGCCCACTGCTGCATGCGTGCGGGCCTCATGCTCACTCACACACCACCCCGGTCACCTCTGTTCTGTTTGATTAAGTCCATGTCCAAACCACACGATCCATGCATCTTTTTTTACTGCACTTATTAGATCTCTCTCTCTCCTTATGAAAAAGACTTTCATTTATTTTTATTTTTATTTTTGCAGTAGAAGTATATCTAATTCCATTAGCTTAAATTTTTGCAAGCATTTCTAATCTCTTACAATTCGCGGTCTCTGCAAGGTAAGGCCTCAGGTCCCCTGGCCCTTTCCCTTTCACACCTGAGGTCCCACCCACCAGGGCACTGTCAACCAGCTGGTTCCCAGAGGTCAGTGGATTCTCCCAGGGGGCTTTGCCTGTCAACTTCTTCTCCCAGGCACCATGCTTTCCACACATGAGCCCCCTACCAACTCTGGCCCCATTTTCAACCTCTCCCCCTGCTGCCATGTTTGGAATTTCTCTGCCCGGCTTCACTTGGAGTTTAAGAGTGAATTAGAAACATAGCTGCCCATCACCTGCAGATGGTTCTGCACCCTGATGACAAGGTGGCTCGTTCCTTGGTACAGCCTGGGACCCTGCCTGAGCCCGAAGATGTGTTTTCTTTATCCACAACCCCTGAATATCTCCCAGGCCTATTGTGATGGGACCCCAACCCCAATCCCCACTCCCTTCCCTACTTCCATTAGACCCGACCAGGGTTGGGGAGGCGGGTGGGTGCAGATCTGGGAATGGAGAAGCACAGGAAAGGAAAAGCGTTGGAAACCAGAACTGGTGAGCTCACTGTCTTCTCTGCCTCCTCCAGGATCCACGCACATCCTCACCCCACAGAAACTGCTGGACACACTGAAGAAACTGAATAAAACAGATGAAGAAATAAGCAGTTAAAAAAATAAGTCGCCCCTCCAAAACATGTCCCCCATCCCACAGCGCTCCGCAGATTCCCACCACCACCTGCCTCAGTTCCTTTGCGTCTGTTGCCTCCCCAGCTCTGCACGCCCTGGCCGGCACTGTTGCCACTGCGTTCTCGTGTTCAATGATGCCCTCTTCTCGTTTGAAACAAAAGAAAATAATGCATTGTGTTTTTTAAAAAGAGTATCTTATATATGTATCCTAAAAAGAAATTTGTGTGCAGTCAGTGCACGGCAGAAATTTCTGGACTGTTAGGATGGATGGAGACCTTCTCCCCGTTATTTAAGATTTGTGACCTTGTACATAACCCTGCGTGACATGTACACATTGCTTGGGTGTGGAAAGGTAGAAGTTTGGGTGTTTTTAAAACCTTGTTTGGGGTTGTTCCTGTCTTTGTTGAGAATCATAGAGATGTCTGTGTTCTTGAAGTATTTCACACTGAGGATTGATCTGTTATCTTCACTCCAGTCCCTACCCCTCGTGCCTGCTCTCACCCAAATAACCCAGGAGGTGACAATCAGGGGACATCTCAGGAGGTCTGAGGTGGAACAGACCTCTTTTCCTTTCCCAGCATCTCATGCCCCCTGTGGTGCGGCTGTGGGTGGAGGCTGGGGTGTCCACGTGAAACCAGGCCAGTGTCCCCTCCTCCACAACCTGTCCGTACCCCCTCCCCAGCCTGCGTCCACAGTGCTGTGACCCTGAGGGAAGTCCTCGAGTCTAAGTCACAGTACCCCGACAAATGAGAAGCAAACTCCTGCAGGAAGCCTGCATGTCTTTGGAAAAGGAATTAGTCCAGTGCCTGCGGCCCAGGCCCTTCTGTCCCCAGGCCTCACCCCAACAGCTCATTTTCTGTAGTTAGCTTTAGTTCAAAGCGTCAGGAATGGATAAGAACAGATGGGTTCTGGAGGCCCCTGAGCAAAGGGCTATGACTGTGGAGAAGGTCCTTGGACCGTTGGACTCACACAGACCTTGTACCGTCTCAGCAAGCATCTTCAGTCAGATTATCCTCAGTTTCAGATACTTTATAATACCTTATTTTGTGTCATGTTGGGGTCATACGTCATCGTGTTCGTAAGAGAAGATAGTCATTTTATTCTCTGTATAAAACTTAGCTCTAAAGCAAAAACTAAAGCAGCAAACGCAGGAAGGCTGTCTTGCCATCCTCAAGACTCAGCAGCTTTCATTCTCCAGCGGTGAGCACACCGTTTGTGCTGCTGCTGTTGTCGTGAAATATAATAACAGTGGAAGTCACAAAAATGTCCCCTGCCCAGCCCCCTCGCCGCCCTTGACCTCCTGCAGGCCATGTATGTATTACTCGTCTAGTGATGTCCTTGCAAAGTGGTGTACGCGAGCCCAGCGCCGCGGCCTCCCCCCTTTCAGAGCCTGCGCCTCGCCCTCTCCGCTCGCTGCATCGTGGTGTTCTCTTCTCAAGGCTTTGAAATCTCCCCTTGCACTGAGATTAGTTGTCGGATCTCTCCCCTGCCTCCCTCCCGACTTAGACGACCTGATTTCCTTAGGACAGAACTGCAGGCCTCTGCGCCGGGCGTCTCACTCCCGCTGCTTGTTCTGTCCCCTCCCTCGGACCAAACAGTGCTCATGCTTCAGGACCTTGTTTGTCAAAGATGTTGGTTTCCCTTTCTCTGTTATTTATATAAAAATAATAATTTATCAAAAGGATATTTTAAAAAAGCTAGTCTGTCTTGAAACTTGTTTACCTTAAAATTATCAGAATCTCAGTGTTTGAAAGTATTGAAGCACAAACATATATCATCTCTGTACCATTCTGTACTAAAGCACTTGAGTCTAATAAATAAAGAAATCGGCACCCCTTCCTGGTGTCCAGGGGGCTCCAGTTTGGCTTTCTTTTGGGCAGTGGAAGGAGAAAACTGCAGTGGTTCATCGCAGAGGTGGCAGCCACCCCAAGCTATGGCATGGAGTCTTGTGGACCCAGGTCCCCATTGCTTGTGTTAGATCTGTAGCTGTCTCACACTGGGAACTAGCCATGGAGCTTGTCTTGGGCCTCTAGCCACAGCAGGGCGCTGCCTAGGGATGAAGTCATTCTTCTATCACGTTTGTCCTTATCTAGAATGCTTTTCTAACGCAGACACTGCAGGGCTCCATCTTTGCAGATGCCCCCTATCCAGTCATGTGGTGTATTTAGGGCGCACAGTGAGGTCACTTCACCACCATTACTGCTCCTCTCCTCTGCCCCTGCTGCTGCACCATCCACCCTGCATGTGTAATGAACTTCTCTCTACGACGAAAGCTGGTGTGTATCCTGCTCGTCTTGGAACTTCCTCATGATTTGAGGAAACTGCGATGAGGTGGGCCCAGCTCTCAGGGTGGACCCATAAGTTAGGGTCGAGGCCACACAGGAAACTGGTTAGAATGCTGGGCCCATGGGAGCGAGACCCTTGGTAGGGACTTGTCTCTACTTTTTCTCCCCAGTCATTCTCATTCTGATCCTGATCTTTACAGCACTGAGAAAGCTACCAGCTCCAGGCCAGTCGGTGGACTTAGCACCACCACAGCCTGCTATAGTCTGGTGAGACATGCCTCATAGGGAGGCCACAACCTGGACCATGCCAGGCCCCTCACATACTTGTCTGTGAGGCAGATCTCTCCCATTCTACAGATGAGGAAGCTGAGGCTCAGAGAGATGCCGAAATTAACAAAGTCCACTCCCCGACACCCACTGTCTTGTCTTGGTTGTTGTTTTTTGGGTTTTGGGTTTTTTTTTTTTTTTGAGACTGGGTCTCACTCCCTCACCCAGGCTGGTGTACAGTGGCCCAATCACAGCCTCAACCTCCCAAGCTCAGGTGATCTTCCCACTTCGGCCTCGTGAGTAACTGGAACCACAGGCACACGCTACCGTGCCCAGCTAATTTTTGTATTTTTCTGTAGAGACAGAGTCTTACAGTGTTGCCCAGGCTGGTCTTGAACTCCTAGGCTCAAGTGATCGGCCCGCCTCAGCCTCACAAACTGCTGGGATTACAGGTGTGAGCTACTGTATCCGGCCCCTATTGTCTTTATCGTTAGTTCACCAGTAAACAGAAGACTTTGGAACGAGATCCAAGATTGGAATTTTTTAAATTCTAAATTGTTCTCAGCTGAATTTACATTAAAGCAAAATCAGCACTGTTTGTTTGCTGCTTCCCAGGATCATGTGTCCCTCCAGGCTCATGGGAGTGGCTTTCCAGTATCTGCCTGGTTATTTCTGAAGTCTTCTGTCCCAGCTTTCTATCACCTCTCTCTTTTCCACCCCTTCACTGCCACCCATGAGCAAATGATTGTGGCCTTTTAGGTTCTTGGCCAAAGCCCTGGTCCTCCTGTGTTACCCAGCAGAGATGGAACTCATTGGGTCACTCTGCTAAAGTCTCCAATGGTGTTAAATATCCTTGGAGGAGCAGGGAGTTCCGAAACAACCCAAAGGATGCAACGCTAACTGAGCCATTCTAACGCCAGCCTGTCAGCTGCAGCCAGGCACTGTGCCTTTCCAGAGGCCCTGGTCCTGGCTGTGGGACTCAGCAGAGACTGCCAGGGGCCTGGACACCCACCTCAGAATGACACCAAGCATTTGTTCCTAAGGAAGCAGAGGACAGAGTGGCTAGGAACACAGACTTAACCATCAGCAGACCTGGGTCGAATCCATCCTTGGCCTCTTTCTACATGACCCTGACTGTGACTTTGTTCCCTCCTGTAGTGCCCGTGGAGGCAGGAAGCTGAGCCCGGCTCCCAAGAAGCAGTGAGGGCTCAGCCGATGATGATGGTGATGATGATGATGACAAATCCAAGCCAAGCCTGGGAAGAAAAGAATAAATAGTCTCATAAATTTTAAAAAGCCCAGTGCCCATCAACAAGAGGACAGATAAATTGTATATTCACCCAATGGTGAATTTGTTCTAAGGCAGTTAAAAATGCATGACATACAGTTGCATATATCAACCTGAATAAATCTCAGACACTTAGTGACGATTGAAAAGGGCACAGTATGGGAGGATACAGACAGGATGGTGCATTTACATAAAGCTTTGAAACCTCACAAAGAGCACCATATATTGCTTATGGATACATATGTTGTAAATGTGTGAAAACATGCATGGAAATGACAAATGCCAAAGTCAGGATAGTGACTGCCCATGGGGAAGGGATGGTTATTATTGTGTTGTCTTATATCTTTAATTCCAAATAAGCCACAAGCTTAAAGTGCTTCATTGAATCATAAAGTATTAATACACTCATTCTGATTGTGGTTATGTATTAAGGCCAGCCACAGTAGCTCATGCCTGTAATCCCAACACCGGGAGGCTGAGTAGGGTGGATCACGAGCCCAGGAGTTCGAGACCAGCCTGGATAACGTGGTGAAATCCTGTCTCTACAAAAAATTAAAAAATTACCCTGGCTAGGCAAGGTGGCTCACCCCTATAATCTCAGCACTTTGGGAGGCCAAGGCAGGTGGATCATGAGGTCAGGAGATTGAGACCATCCTGGCCAACATGGTGAAACCTTGTCTCTACTAGAAATACAAAAATTAGCTGGGCATGGTGGTATGTGCCTGTAATTCCAGCTACTCAAGAGGCTGGGGCAGGAGAATCACTTGAACCCGGGAGGCAGAGGTTGCAGTGAGCTGAAATCGTGCCACTACACTACAGTCTGGGCGACAGAATGAGATTCCTTCTCAAAAAACAAAAACAAAAACAAAAAAACCGCCGGGCGCGGTGGCTCAAGCCTGTAATCCCAGCACTGTGGGAGGCCGAGGCGGGTGGATCATGAGGTCAAGAGATCGAGACCATCCTGGTCAACATGGTGAAACCCCGTCTCTACTAAAAATACAAAAAATTAGCTGGGCATAGTGGCGCGTGCCTATAATCCCAGCGACTCAGGAGGCTGGGGCAGGAGAATTGCCTGAACCCAGGAGGCGGAGGTTGCAGTGAGCCGAGATTGCGCCATTGCACTCCAGCCTGGGTAACAAGAGCGAAACTCCGTCTCAAAAAAAAAAAAAAAAAAAAACCCTGGCATGGTGGCATGTGCCTGTAGTCCCAGCTACTCAGGACGCTGAGGTGGGAGGATCACCTGAGACTGGGAGTTCGAGGCTACAGTGGTGAGCTGTGATTGTGCCACTGCACTTCAGCCTGGACAACAGCAAGACCCTGTCTCTAAATAAATAAATAATACATGGCACTTATGTGCCAGGCACTGACTGCTTTATATGTGACTTGCTGAATCTTCTCAACAATGCTAGGAGTTAGGTGCCATCATTAGCCCTATTTACAGTTAGGGAAGCAAAACCACATAAAGACAAAAGCCACCCAGTTATTACATGGCTGAGACTAGATTTAAACGCAGCAGTCTGACTCCAGAGCCCATGTTCTCCACTATCAGAAAAACATTACTGGCTGGGCACGGTGGCTCACACCTGTTAATCCCAGCACTTTGGGAGGCTGAGGTGGGTGGATCACTTGGGGTCAGGAGTTCAAAACCAGCCTGGCCAACATGGTGAAACCCCATCTCTACTAAAAATAAAAAATAAATAGCCAGGCGTGGTGGTGGGCACCTGTAATCCCAGCTGCTTAGGAGGCTGAGGCAGGAGAATCACTTGACCCCAGGAGGTGAAGGCTGCAGTGAGTCGAGATTGTGCCATTGCACTCCAGCTTGGGACATGGAGCAAGAATCCATCTCCAAAAAAGAAAAAACATTTTTGGTATAAGCAGACAGTGGGATTCCAGTGTGAAAACAGTGTTTGTCTGTATGGGCTGGAACAAATGACTCTTCAAGGATGATGATTTTACACAAGCAACAAAAAAGAAGAAAAAGAGTGAAAAGTGGCACAATAAAAATTGGATTTTCCTGGGCCAGTGAGTTATACCTGCCTGGTCCCCACGCACTACCTGTTATAAAAGAACGTTGTCAAAAAGTGGATGAACACAGTGAAATATTTCAATTACTTCAAATATTTCAATCGATTTCAACTGAAGCACAGTAATCTTGTCCATAAGCCAAGCACATTTTTCCAGCACAAGAATACATTCTGGAATGAGACTGATGAATTCCATTGCTAAAGGTTGGGAAGAAACCCAAACTACAGAGACAGTGATCAGAGTTATGCTCCTTGGTAAAAGGTGGCACCGACTATTGCCAAGAAGCTTATCAAACCAGCTGCTGTTGTCCGGGCACAATGGCTCATGCCTGTAATCCCAGCACTTTGGGAGGCTGAGGCAGGTGGATCACTTGCGGTCTGGCCAACATGGTGAAATCCCGTCTCTACTAAAAATACAAAAGTTAGCTGAGCGTGGCAGCATGTGCCTGTAGTCCCAGCTACTTGGGAGGCTGATACAGGAGAATCACTTGAACCCAGGAGATGGAGGTTGTAGTGAGCTGAGATCACACCACTGCACTCCAGCCTGGGCGGCAGAACAACAATCTGTGTCCAAAAAGAAAAAAAACACAGCTCCTGTTGACCTCCAGCATTCTTTGAGCAGCTGACACTGTTGGCTGGTAGGAAGCGTTCGTGATGGGGTATATGGAAGGACGCTGTCAACATGTGCTCCCTCTTACAACTGGATTGAATGGTGTTGAGCAGAATTTGAGTCTCCTGGTGGGAGCACTGCCTCTGTGAAGGTGAAGTGCTCAGGTAGTGCTTGCTCTGTTTATCATTAAAATTGCGTGCTCAGACGACACCGAAAGCACAGACAAAACAAGAAAAAATAGGTAAATTGTTCTACTTCAAAATTTAAAACTACAATCAAAGAAGACAGTCTACAGGGTGAAAAGGCAGCCTCAGAATGGGAAAAACTGTTTACAAATCACATATCTGCTAAGGGGCTAATATCCAGATGCATGAACTCCTATACTCAACAACAAAAAACGATCTGATTTTAAAATGGGCAGAAGTTGGGCATGGTGGTGTGCACCTGTAGTCCTAACTACTTGGGAGGCTGAGGCAGGAGGATGGTTTAAGCCCAGGAGTTTGAGACCAGCCCAAGAAACATAGCAAGACTCCCAATCTATTTAAAAATAAAACCAAAACCAGAGAAAATGGGCAAAGGATTTGAATAGCCATTTTTCTAAATAAATTATACAAATGGCAGGTAAGCACACAAAAAGATGCTCAACGTCACTAATCATTAGGGAAACGCAAGTCAAAACCACAATGAAATACTACCTCATACCCATTAGAATGGCTACTAGAAAAACAAAAAACAGGCCGGGCACGGTGGCTCATGCCTGTAATCCCACACTTTGAGAGTCCAAGGAGAGCAGATCGCTTGAGCCCAATAGTTCGCAGCCAGGCGGGCAACACAGTGAAACTTCATCTCTACAAAAAAAAAAAAAGTTAGCCAGGTGTGGTGGCACATGCCTGTAACCCCTACTACTTGGAAGGCTTGCTTGAGCCTGGGAGGTCGAGGCTACAGAGAGCCATGATTGCACCACTGCACTCCAGCCTGGGCAACAGAGTGAGATCCTGTCTCAAAAAATACAAATAAAAATGGTTGGGGCAAATTCCTACCCATTCTCTGTGAAGCACCTGTGCCCCTCCCTATGGCATAGAATCCCTGGCCCTGGGGGGTAATGGTATGGGGATCCACCACCTCGTCTGTTTATAAGAAAAACAAAGCGGGGGGAGATGGGTTAAAGGTCCTGAATTAGCCTCCCCTGTCCCAGCAGTGGCTTCCCTCAAGACCAACACAAGACCTTTTTTTTTCTTTCCACCCAGGCTGGAGTGCAGTAGTGTGATCTCGGCTTACTGCAACCTCTATCTCCCAGGTTCAAGCGATCCTCCCTCTTCAACCTCCGGAGTAGCTGGGACTACAGGCTAATTTTTGTATTTTTAGTAGAGACGGGGGTTTCACCATGTTGGCCAGGCTGGTCTCGAACTCCTGGCCTCAAGTCATCCCCCACCCCCTCCGGCCTCGGCCTCCCAAAGTGCTGACATTATGGTGTGAACCACCGCGCCCGGCCAAGACCAACTTCTTGGTGTCTCACAGAAGCCAAAATGCCCAGGGAACGCCCAGCGCTCTGGCAAGGGCAGGACTTCACCCAGAGCTGCCCCCAGGGTGCCTTCTGCCTGGCCGCCGGCGCTCCCTTCGACCAACGCGGAACCGACACTCTAGGCCGAGACACTGTGAGCAAGGAAAAGGCCGCCGTCCGACACCGGTCACGCAGCGGGTAAGACGCGGCCTCGGGAATGGGCTTGGGAAGGCCGAGCTTCCGCGGTTGGTGGGCGTCTAATATTCGGGCTGCTTAGGGATTGGTCACCTCTGGCCCTGGAGGCGGGGTTCTTGGAGTAAGACGATTGCTGATTGGCTGGCTTTCCGAGGCCGGTGTGAAGGATTGGTCATTTTATCTGGGTGCTGGGTTAGGCAGTACCTATACTAAAATTGGAAGCAATGACGCGCAGATTGGTGAAGCGTTCCATATTTTTTCCATGTGATACCCTAAAGTAGGATGAAAGACTATGCTGAGCAAAATAAAATGGGCCATCAAGGAAAAAATAAAAGGAACGGATTCTGGGAGTTAGCTGTTACCAGAATAGTCTCTTCCTACAACAGGCACTTTTAATTTTCCCTGTTTATTGCATAATGGTTACCAGTCAGGCTATGGAGTTGAGCCTGGAATTTGACTCCTGACTTCCCTTTGGAGTCAAAGGGAGAAGTTACTTGACCTCAATTTTCACATCAATATAATGGGAATAATGTAAGTGCCTCCCATGTAGGACTGCTACAGAGATTAAATATAATCATCTATGTAGAGCCTTAGGACAACGCTTCGCAATTAGTTATGACTGTCACTCTGTGGTGGCTATGTAGGCCTGTAACAGCTCACCCCCTCACTTCATTCCAATCCTTTACCTCATGCAACTGGAGAGATCTTTCAAATGCAACTTGGAGGCTGGGCACGATGGCTCACGCCTGTAATCCCAGCACTTTGGGAGACTGAGGCGGGCAGATCACTTGGGGCCAGGAGTTCCAGACCAACCTGGCCAACATGGTGAAACCACGTTGTTGAGAAATGTTAAGTTTATGAATACTGATGTCGGGAAATGTTAAATTTATGAATACTGATGAATGCTGAGTGTATGATAGAATATATTGTTTGCTAGGATGAATGATGGCAAGGAAAACCTAGCCACCCCCGCCAGTAGAAAACTACTGGGGGCATTCCAAAGTGGCAGGACAATATAAAAATATCACACACCTGTTAAAACAATTCTTTAAGCTATCTGACCCTGCCCCCATGGCTCCCTCGTGGAGAATACTTCTTAGGTTGTTTGTGATCAGTGGTAAGTGGGCTCCAGCTGCCTACTTGGCATGTTTTGTGTTATAAGAAAATACCGAACACCTTTGTTAATAATGAGCAGCTGTTCAGAGAGAATAAATGCATGGGTCAGCGTCTACTTGGGCCCTTCAGCCTGGAATGCTGTCAGCCCCTGCGGCTCTCAGTTCAGAAGGCTGCTGGTGCCCCCCCCCCCCCCCCCGCCTCCCTCCTCCCCATAGACCCACTTTGTTGTTTTATCTGGGTGTCTGCCTCTCATTTCTGTCAGTGCTGCCTGGGTGGGGGTCTCTATGGCCCAGCTGGTACTTGGTACCGTCTCTACTAAAAATACAAAAACTAGCCAGTTGTGCTGCACTCCAGCCTGGGCAGCAGAGCAAGACTGTCCCAAGAAAATAATAAAGTAAAAATAAAGCAACTTGGAACCTGTACTTCTGCTGATCAAATAATGCACTGCTTCTTCTCTGGTCTAGGAAGCTATGTGTTAGGCTGTCTCTCTGCCTCTCTTTTACCTGCTCCCTCCTTTTCTCAGCTGCAGCTTCTCTGGCCTTCATCAAACTTGAGTTGTTTTTTCTTGTCTTAGGCCCTGCGCTCTTTCCACCTCCACCCACACCTCTTTTGGGCAGCACCTCCTTCTCTTCCAAGCCTAGCGCCTCCATGATGGGGGCTGTTCCTGGCTCCTCCTCCTGTTTTTGGAGCTCTCTGTACTTTTCCTCTGTTGACTAAAAGTGAAATCTGTCCTTCATCGACTGATTGGAGCCCCTCTTGGCTAAGGAACCCCAGGAAAACCTTAAAACAGTTCCCAGCCATAATGAGATGGGAGGTCAGACACGCCTCATGAAACCCCCCTCCCTTTTACAGTTTAGAAACAACGGACCAGCATTCATGTTAAAATAGAGATCATAAGACCGGCAGAACAGACTCTGTGGCAATAAAGTAAAAAATTATAAACAGGACCTCGGGCCACGGCAGGTAGGGATGAAGTTACACACCCCGCACTTGAAGAATAGGCTGTCCTCCAACTGCCACAAGGTTTTCTTCTTTAGTAGCTAAATAAGCTCTAGATGACCTGGAGATAAGCAATATTAAAACAATTACAATTTATCCAGCTCCCAGAGGCTGAGGGACTGACCACCTTTCCGCTAGCCTAACTATAGATTTCACTGGACAAGAGACTGATTTCAGATAAGACCATGGACTGACTGGCCAGTTTACAGAGATTGTGCACTTGAGTGTCCTCATTTTTGAAAAAGCCCTTTTGACAAATAGGGCCTAATTGTTAATATATTTAAATGCCAAATCTCCACCCCAAAGTAAACATGGGTCAAATGGTACATGCATGTTTGTTCAATGTGCATGTGTTCAACCACCTTCATGTATATTCATAGCCCCTCCTGTAACCTACTAAATATGTATGTTTGGCCAACCTGTTCAGCATAAAGTTCCTACCCCAACCCCTCCTCCTACCTGTCTCCGGTCTTGGCTGGAGGCACGCTTCTCAGACTGTGGGATGACCACCTTGCAGGCTGTAACTTTCTCTAAAGGAGTCTCCTCCTCTCCTTTCCCAAATTTATGAATGTGATTTTTTTCAAGTTAACATGTCATAGTACCAAAGCGCAGGTGAAATTCTGCTACTTACGTTCACATCTGATTGACGTCTTCCCAACACACATGGGGCATTCACTTTAATAAGGCATAGGAGCAGGGATCTATTAGTTGAATAAAGAAAGGGAGTGAATGGATGAACGAATGAAGGCACTTAAGAATCAGCTGTTTGCCAAACAGGCTCCAGCCCAAGGATCAGGAGTACCTGACCTGCTGAAGAAAGTGCTCTTCATCTCAGAACTGATAAACCTGAACGTTTCCATCATTTCTCTGGTAAAGTGCCCAATTTACTTGAAATCTTTAAAAATTGGCACGTTTGGCTGGGCCTGGTGGCTCATGCCTATAATCTTGATACTTTGAGGGGCCAAGACAGGAGAATTACTGGAGCCCAGGCATTCGAGACCAGCTTGGGCAACACAGGGAGACCCCCATCTCTACAAAAAAAAAGTGTTTAAAAAATAGCCAGAGGTGGTGCATACACCTGCAGTCCCAGCTTCTGGAGGTGGGAGGTGGAATCACCTGTGCCTCAGAGATCAAGGCTGCAGTGAGCCATGGTTGCACCACTGCACTACAGCCTGGGAGACAGTGAGACCCTGTCTCAAAACACAAAGAAAAATGGGCGTGTTTGTGTCACCTAAATTGACAAGCCACCATCATGATTATTGTCACTACAACCATTTGTTGTGAACTCATCAGGTGTCAGGTGCTGGGTTTTTGACATGGGCCTCTGACATGCTTTGCCCACATTTGTAATTTTTTTTTTTTGACACAGTGTCTCTCTCTGTCACACAGGCTGGAGTGCAGTGTGGCATGATCTCAGTTCACCGGAACCTCGGCCTCCTGGGTTTAAGTGATTCTCCTGACTCGGCCATCTGAGTAGCTGGAATTACAGGCATATGCCACCACACCCAGCTAATTTGTGTATTTTTAGTAGAGATGGGGTTTCTCCATGTTAGTCAGGCTGGTCTCCAACTCCTGACCTCATGATCCACCCGCCTCAGCTTCCCAAAGCGCTGAGATTACAGGTGTGAGCCACTGCTCCTGGCCCTTTTTATGTATTTTTATACAATATTGGGGTTTCACAATATTGGCCAGACTGGTCTCGAACTCCTGACATCAGGTGATCCGCCTGCCTCACCTCCCAAAGTGCTGGGATCACAGGCGTGAGCCACCGCGCCCGGCCAATTTTTTGTATTTTCTGTAGAGACAGGGTTTTACCATGTTGGGCAGGCTGGTCTCCTGGCCTCAAGTGATCCACCCAACTCGGCCTCACAAAGTGCTGAGATTACAGGCGTGCGCCACTGCGCTCCTGGCCTGCAATATTGTTTTTAAGTGTGGATCCCTAGGAATTACTCCTGGATCAGAATGGTTTATTGTTTAGGCAGTGTTTCCTCAGTATTTAATCCCCTTATGCCAGTGAGGGCTCTGCCCCATGTTGATGGGTCTGTATGGGGCTTGGCCATGCTTTCAAGTCAGCCCCTTGTCCTGCGCTGTTTCCTAAGTGGGTGAAGCCTTGCATCTGAGCGCAGCCTTCCTGACCCCTGTGTTGGCCATTATCCCAGGAGTGCTCCTTGGCTGTCTCTCTCTCTCCAATTCTCTCTATTCTGCTGCTCTGTCATCAGGAAAGGAGCTGCCAGCCTCCTCTAAATTGCTCTCTACCAAGATCTCTGTTGTTCTTTATGTGTTTGTTTTGAGGCGGAGTCTTGCTCTGTTGCCCAGTTGCAGTGCAGTGGTGCGATCCTGGCTGACTGCAGCCTCACACTACTGGGCTCAAGCGATCCTCCTACCTCAGCTGCAGGCCACCAAGCCCAGCTAATTAAAAAAAATTTTTTTGTAGAGATGAGGTCTCACTATGTTGCCCAAGCTGGTCTCCATCTCCTGACAATGTTTTTGACAATGCTCTGTTAAATAAAATTTATAGAAGGCCATTGGTTTGGATTGAGTCCCTGCAATAAGCCCAAATGGCCAAACTAAAATGAAGTCATTCAAGCTCTTCTATGTTACCAAGCCGAAACTAAGTTATTTATCTGACTTTGCATGAAGCCAGAAGAGTGAGAGATAAAAACCAACTCCCTAAACAATTGAGATTTAGCCAGCATGACAAGGAAGTCCCCTCTGCTTTAACCTTTATAAGGAAAGTCACTTTTTTTTTTTTTTTGAGTTGGAATCCTGCTCTGTCGCCCAGGTTGGAGTGCAGTGCCTCGATGTTGGCTCACTGCAACCTCTGCCCTCCGGGTTCAAGACTTTCTCCTGCCTCAGCCTCCCAAGTAGCTGGGATTACAGGCACCTGCCACCACACCCAGCTAATCTTTTTTTTTATTTTTAATAGAGAAGGAGTTTTGCCATTTAGGCCAGGGTAGTCATGAACTCCTGACCTCAGGTGATCTGCCCATCTCGGCCTCCGAAAATTCTTGCTACTGTGCCCCACTGAAAGTCACTCCGAAACAACCAATCAGCCAGGCATGGTGGCTCACGCCTGTAATCCTAGCACTTTGGGAGGCTGAGGTGGGTGGATCACCTGAGGTCAGAAGTTCAAGACCAGCCTGGCCATCATGGTGAAACTCCATCTTAAACAAACAAACAAACAAAAACAATCTACTTTTTGTTCTATTTCTGCTTTTGTCAGCCTTCTCTATCTGTAAAACCAACCTCTTCTGTTCAGCTCATCAGAACACTCATTCTATCACCCAATTCTAGAATCACAAAAGCCAATTAAGGCTAGGTGCAGTGGCTCACGCCTGTAATCCCAGCACTTTGGGAGGCCGAGGTGGGCAGATCACCTGAGGTCGGGAATTCAAGACCAGTCTGGTCAACATGGCAAAACTAAAAATACAGAAATTATCTGGGTCTGGCGGTATGTGCCTGTAATCCCATCTACTGGGGAGGCTGAGGCATAAGAATCACTTGAATCCAGGAGGTAGAGGTTGCAGTGAGCCAAGATTGCATCACTGCAGTCCAGCCTGGGCGACAGAGCAAGACTCTGTCTTTAAAAAAAAAATTTTAACTTAAAAAGTCAGCGTTTCACTCTTGTTACCCAGACTGGAGTGCAATGGCGCGATCTCGGCTCACCGCAACCTCCGCCTCTTGGGTTCAGGCAATTCTCCTGCCTCAACCTCCTCAGTAGCTGGGATTACAGGCATGCGCCACCATGCCCAGCTAATTTTTTGTATTTTTAGTAGAGATGGGGTTTCACCATGTTGACCAGGATGGTCTCGATCTCTTGACCTCGTGATCCACCCGCCTCGGCCTCCTGAAGTGCTGGGATTACAGGCTTGAGCCACCGCGCCCGGCCTAGCTATGATCTTTAAACTGATCAGTTGTAATTTTGTCTTTGGCAGCCCTTAACCATGGAGTTTTTGAAGCAGTGACAGAAGTACAGTTTCCTTGGCAGAGCCACAGAGTTCTGTTCTTTTCCCCAGACTCTTTCCCCAGAGCAAAACCCACCTGCCACTGCACCCAAACTGGGGGAGGGACCTACTTTTCCTAAGTCACACCCTGCTCTATGAGTGGGCACCAGGGGGTGGCAGTCACGGCGTTCTCAGCTGGTCTCGCCCAGCCTGGCGTGAAGCCTCCACCCTATGAGCTAGCTGGAGTGAGGC